CGCTCACAGAAGATTAGGTTCAATCCGATGCTCATGGTGGGAGGGTGGGGGCAGAGTACTGCTGGAAGTTGTTTTTTCCCCTTTCCCGAATTCCCCTCACCCTAATTACGTGGTGAAGACCACGTCTCCGACGTCGCCGCGTGCTTGCTACTCCCCAAAACTGGGGAATAGCTGTGTGTGTACAACCCTGATAGCAAATGGATAAGAGGAAGTGGGTGATTGCAAAAGGCTGGCACCAACGAAGACCTTTCTGCTTTCCTGTGATATCAACTCGGGACGCCGAGTTGACGTACCTGTGTTTGTGTGTGCGTGCGTGTGCGCACATAAATGCGCACAAGGCATTGCGTAAGGGTTTCGCTATGTTTCGCTGAAACTGCAAGTGTTTGATATTCAACTTGGCGTGTGGAAGATTACAAGGGGCTGCTGGAAGCCTGATGGTGTGGTGTTGTAAACTTACCTGTATCTTTGAATCTTGATATGGATTCTCTTGGGCCCTGTGTGGCACAGCAGCTGGCAATCCATACAACTTGTACAACTTGACTGCCATCCTGTGTTTCGATCTGCCTTCCCCAACAGGATAAGTCCGAAGTGTAAGTTTGTGCGTAGGCACCCTGGTTCCAAGTTAAGGATCTTTGGTCATGTCGTGCTGAGGCTTTTGTCTGACACAGTCAAGCAAGGGGCAGCGCATCCCTGACGGCTTACGGCTTGAAGACGGTGTGACCCTGGCAGAAACGGGGTGGCACACATGGCACCACCGCGTCGACGAACAAACCGAGAAGCGCACGATGTAGTCGCGCGAAGTTGCAGACCTTTATGGCATCTTGTGGCCACTTTGGCATAGCTTTGACAGTTAGTCCGAATTTCGGCCCGATGCCTGGCACCGTCTTGCGGCAACGATAAGTAAGGGTACAGTCGTGAAAGAGAGAAGGCGCATCGGGCCGAGCATCATAGAGTTGGCAGGACTTCAAGTCTGCGTGGTCTACGGCCAAGCAGTTTGCGCCTGAATGGGCACTTCGCTGCTAAGACCCTGACCAGTCCTCTTACTTATCTGTACATTGGAGGGTTCGGTTCCTGCTCGTCCTGTCCCGAATTGTGAAGAGCTGTCGACAGTGTGCCTGTGAGTGAGGTTCAGCACTACCGGAGTCGTTTTCGGCGTTGTGCGCGAGGGAATGCCAGCCCTGGACGAGCCGAACGCAGAAGCGAGGCTATCAGCGAGCGGGTTGCAAAACAAAGCGCAAGTAGGCTGCCGGCCATGCAAGGTGTTGGCACTGCAACGTGAAAGGAGACCACTTGTCCGATCCCTCGTTGCGCATGGTATCCCACTTTGAGTAAACGTGAAGTTGCAGCGGTTTGGTCGTTGAGGCTTCGCTGTTCGAATTGGGCTTGGTCCAAGCAGGAAACTGTTTGGAGCTTAGCAGCTGGTGTTGGCAGTCAACGCCTTTGACGATTGAGACGTGAGGTCTTTTTCTGTGGCAGGGACTGCCAAAGGCAGGCGTGGCAGGAGGCGAAACGCAAGGCGGGGTCTTGACGAATGTTTCACACGATGCATTCGTCCATGTTAGACATGTCACACGATTGATAGTTCGTCAGAAGTCCCAGCCGCGAGTGTGCAGATTAGGTGCACCCAGATGCATGATGGTTTGAGAATCCCAAGTGTTACAGAAAGAGACGCAACCTTGCAGGCTTGATATTCCAGCACATGCCTGGGACTGCTTGCCGTGACTTGATCGGTGCCATGCAAAAAGCGGAATCCCTGACTTAAGCAAGGCTGCACTCCGAAAGTTGAAGTTGAAGCTGCATCTTGTGGTCACCTACCCGAAGCTGGAGTCCATTGAGTGTCCATGGATTTGTGGCATGGGCCCGTATGGAACTAAGGACGCCGGATGTCGTACTGCACAGAAGTTGGGTCTTTGATTTGGGGCTCGGTGAATAGCCTCTCGGGGCAGATTCAAAACATAGATCCTTCATTCTGGTACAAATGCAGGATGACACGGATTCTCCAAAATCATGACATGTTGTGCAGAAGCCCAGAAGCGTGAAGCCATGTGAAGCCCCATGCTGCTGAAGACGAGCTTCGAGATGCAATGTCGTGTCGCCGCCTGCTAGTTCTCGTCATAGCCGCCGGCCTTGCTGTGCTACTTGTAATACTTCTGTATCTTCTGGTGGACGGGAGTCGAAGTGGCACAGGATATTGAAAGTCAGGATAACATGCCCAGTGGAGAGAAGCGGTTCCTCCATTACCTGTTCCGTTACGGTTCACTGAAGCCTCGGACAAATTTTGCATATCCTGAAATCCCGATGGGCATGATGTTGAACCACGAAAGTTCACAAGGTTGGACTCTATCCGACTCTATCCTTCCAGGAAGACTGGAGTAGCCGAAGCGGCCGTTGTAGTGCTATTCACTTGTCTCCAAGCCATCCGGCCGGTTGTTTCAACGGCAACACGAAAAAAAACGTAGAACTTGAGCAGCTCGCCTTGACGAGGATTCTGCTGGGATTCGAGCATGCACCACCCTCTCGTCACATACCGGTGTCAAATTGTCAAATCTAAGACGTCAACCTGCTCGTCCCGTTAAACGGTCCGTGGTTAAGACGCCATCCACCAAGAGGAACGGCCAAGCCTAATGCGAGGCCAGCCAAATTCGCCCCAGCAGTTGAGGTGTTGCCACTAGAGCACATGCACGCCTGGCGTCGGCCCCAGGCAGCCCGTCACTTTGGAGTTGGCCTCGGGTCCAGAGGGCCCGGAGGCAGCGGCAGCGCGACTGTCCCATTCGCGTAACTCCTGGCAGACGGATGTAAAGATCCACCGTCCGACCTGCTCCAAAGCGTAACACCAGTATCATCGGTGGCCACACTAAGTTCGCTCATCCGGTGCTCCACCCTGACAGCAGCAGTAAGTACATCCTCACAAGGACGTTTGCTAGGCGGCGTCTCGCCCGTGGGATCTCTCTCCACCGCTGTTGCCCTCCTTCTAGGGGTGATGTAACCTGCAAACGCAGCCACAGCATCCTCAGCCCCTTCAGCCGTGTTTTGCTGTACCTGGTCCGCCTCCGCGTCGTGCTCAGCAGAGACGGCTGCCGCTTTCGCCGCCTTTCTACGTTGCCGCTTGCGCCGACCCTTGGCCGCAAGAGCCTCGCGCCGCTCCTCCTCACTGCTTTCACGGCGGGCGCCAGAAGAGGCACCCGGGTCACTGGGCCCCTCCACACGCGCAGTCCTCGGTGCTGTGTTGGCTGCAGGGCTAGGGTGCGCAAGCACCGAAACCACTGCTGCCACCACCGCCTGAACTGTACGACGTGGAGCACGCGCCAGGCACGCTGCTCTCACTGCTGCCTCCACGAAAAAGGCCGCGTCAGTAGCAACCATGGCTCTAGGGCCCAGGCGAACCTAGGGGGGATCCTGCCAAGCCCTGCGATCGCTTGAGCCCCTTCACATACCGGTGTTGGCTGTCTGTCGAAGCCAGCCGGGCCGGATCCGTTAGCCATTGATTGCACCTCCTGCCATCCGCTCGGAGCAGTTGCACCTTTGTCTTCGGAGCTGCAGCAAGCCATTCAGGCTTATCAGGACGAGTATGAATGAGCACCGCCGCTGGGAGTGCGGGCAGAATCCGAGCGATCAGCACATCATGTCTGAGATCTTGTACGACATCAAGAGCACGAACTCGGGTGGCAGCCCGGTTTGGATGTGTGGTCACTGCTGATGTTAAGCATTCGGATGCGTGCGCACATTGAAATAGGGGGGCAGGGTGGTTGAAACGTCGAGTGGACGGGCGCCATCTTCCTCGTGTTGCACAGCTGGCCGCGAGCGAGCGAGCGCCAGGAGGGTTTTGGTTCTGGCCAGCAAATCACAGCGACCTTAGCACAGACAAATCCGAGCTGAATGCATCCGGTCTGTCAGGCCCACTAGCTACATCATTGCAGAGGACAGCTATTCTACCACCGCCCCGACAGGCCCCGATGCCAGCAATCAAGGAGTTCCTGACATCGCTCTGCTCCGTCTTCCAATATGAAACCTTCGTCATTGCTTTGGACATGTGCCCACCACAAGCCCAACGTTATCAATCGCCTTCAGAACAACCGGGCCGCTAAATGGGGAGCACATCAATGGCAATGCCATGTGCATATTGACGGTTTGGGATCATATGCGTGATATACGGTTTTCTTGAGTGTATTCTGAATAATGGAAAGTTAACCACCCTATTGGCGGGACGTTGAGGAATAAAGATAGGAAGAAGAAGGAGAATAAGAAGAGGAATATTAAACATAAGGGGAAGAGTAAATTAATTATGAAAATGAAAATAAGGAGTAGGAACGAATAATTGTAAGTATTGACATGAAAAAAGGTAAAGAGAACATAAGATGATGAAAATCGAAAAATGATTGTAATATAACTACAAATATATGAGCAACTATTATAAGATAAAAGAATTGGACGAATTGCCAGGCACGGTTGGGCGAGTAGTGTTCTGATTGAGTTTGCAAGTTTGGTTGAACTACGTTGCTCGATGTTGCTCGTCAATGATTCGATGGCCAGTGAATCAGCAACACATGCTTATAGGGAACCGCACTGCGACAGCGCAGAGCAGACATTGTCTCTTAACTCTTGTTACTGTGGTAGTGGCAAATACGTTGGACAGAAGAAGTCTCGTTGTCGCCGTGGATGTGTGACCACTCCATGGTGCCTCGGCCTGTAGAACAAGGGTCCAAGTGTGAAAGAAGAACGGCCACTCTTCTTGCTAGGTTCTAAGCCGTCTGCTCCGTCGTCGAGTAGCCTCCGTCTGCCTCCATTGTTGATCTGCAGATGTTTTTTCCAATCTTCTGCTGCACCGTTGCCGCCGTTGCCGGCAGTTCGGCTCCGATTTTGCCTCAGGGTGTCATTGAACAGCAACAAGCAAGGCCTAAGGGGACGAGCGCAGAAAAGTTGCGCCAGCGCAGCCTATAGCGCATGGTGGGCGCATGATGTGTTAGTCTCTCGCGGCGGCGCCAACAAGCCCAGCAGATCAAATGGCAACCTTCCTGGCAGTTTCCCGTCGAGGAGGCCGGGAGGCCTCGGGCATCCTTGGGTGTCCGTTCGGTGACCCGAAAACGCTTCGGGTTCTTCTGAGGAAGCCTCGCCGAGCCCGCCAAGGAGACTCTTGGCTTCCACCCGACACCCGGCCGGGAGCCCAGGCAACCGTGATTCTGCACGAGTTTTTCAGACTCCCAGGCAGCTACGGAATTGGAGGAAGCAGCAGCAGCCGCAGTGGACACTGCTACCGCAAATCTTCGGAGTTCTTGGCCACCGTCTTTGCTTCTCGGCCCTGAAGTCGAATCTTCTGTACTGCTGATGACTCATGACTGCTGATGAGGTGGCTGCTTGGTCGAGACGGAGGAGTAGGCTGCCCCGCAGCGCGAAGGAGGAGGTAAGCCCTGGTAAGCTGTGGGCCGGCACTGGGCTGCTTGTTTGGTTTGCTCCAGCCCGTTTGCATACTCATGATCTTGCCTTTCATGCGATGGGAGGTGCGAGTGAAGGAGACGGAGGAGCAGGTTGGACATTTTTGTCATTCCTTCTACACTAGCAGTGTGATTTGCTACTGAGGTGCTGGACTATGATGTCCCTTCTAGGGAAGAGTTGGAGAAGCAGCAAATCGAACTGCTAGAGGCACCTTCCGAGAAAACAAGAACACAGTTGACTTGGTCTCCGCTCTCAGGCCACAGGTGCCCTGGACCTGCAGCGAAAAGAGGAGGAGCAAAAAAGTGTGCTTTGGAGCGCAGCGAAAGGACTATAGTTACCAGAGTTTTTTGCGATCAGGCTTATCAAGAGAGGCGCAAATGGAGAGTACAGAATCCTTCCCCGCACGTGCCTCATGACGTCGCTCTTGGTTGATGGCTTCAAAGTGTCTTCGCTCTTGTGCCGAGGCTGGACAAGTGGCAGCAGGAGATGGAAGAGGTTCGAAACGACACGTCCTGCCCACAGCTTGCCTTCACTGTGGCTGAGATTCTCGAGCTTCCACAGACCGAAGCCAGGGAGCGGCGCATGCTCTGGGGCGATCTGCAGAAGAAATCTGGTGGGTATAAGCGCTATCGCGGTAAGAAGGCGGTTTCCAACCACTTTCAAGCGAAGGCTGTAGACACGAGCTCCGGGATCGCCACTTCTTGGCAGGTCGGTGAGGAGGAGGGCAAAATGAAGTTCAATCGCGGCTTCCCACTAGAGGACTCGAGCGAACGTTCATGACCATTGTTGCACCAACTGTGCAACAATGCTGCACTCCGAGGACACAGAGGAACAAGAGCGGACAGACCAGGAAAGAGACAGGCTCGATGCGCTCGCCCGCTCTGTCGAATTGGTTTGCTACTACTTCATAAACATGTTGGGGATGTTTCCCCTCTCAAATGACATCCCGACGACTCGTCAAGGATCCGATGGATAAGTTAGAGAGCGTCCTCGGAACGTGCTTCACCACAATGCTCTTCGTCAAACACGATGCAATTTGCTGTGTGGATGCGATCGAACTCCTCCCATCTTTCACACTCCCCAGAACCGTCCCCAATCATGCACTTGATTAACGTCTTTGCGGCTTGCATTATTATCTAGCGAAAGCCAACAACTGCTGCTGCTTGCCTCTTCAGCTACTGTTGTACGTACCTGGAGGAAGTGGCTGGAGATGTGGCGCTCGACATGGCCAGAGGCACTTGCAGATGTACATTGCCCTTGCACTGTTCTCAGCACGATGATTGCTACTCTGAGCCTGATCCGTCATGCAGTTTTGGTATGGTTAAGTCAACGAATGCTGCTGTCATGCCTAGAATGGGTTTATACTCGTGAAGCTTTGTTGCTGTTTTTCCTCATCGTAAACGTAACAGTCATTGAGACAGTCATTGATTGGCAGTGAAAAACATAGCTGAAAGCACAGGGTGTCAGTGCTGCCATGTTTGTTGCAGCAGCAATGCGAGTGTTTCGAGGCTTCTGACTTGCCTGAATTGACAGCTCACATTGGGCAGGAGAGCGGCAACACTCGATTTAAGCAGCATTCCGCCATCAGCCACCCCTGCTTGAATCGGTGCTCCGGGGCCATGGTTTGCTATGCGAGCTGCGACTCTGAACATCAGAATGACGTCACAAGCTTTCGTGAAATTCGAACCAGCAGTCACAGTGGCAGAAAGGATCTGCATGATCGTTTCTGGCTTCAGCAAGGTAGCAACGATTTTATACGGTTTGGAACGGAAAGTGCAGTGGGCCTCTTTGCTAGAGTCAGAGTACCAGTGCTGAGTGCCTACGACCGGTCACTTTGCCTCAAGGTGAAACAAGGGCTTGAGCTTATTTCTCGCGTCTTGCGTTTGGAGAATGTGAATCTCGATTTACTTCCTCGCGTTTACAGTCCGTTTCCGGAAGGGGTGTCACACCTCCGAAATGTTTTTGGATCCTCCTGCTATTGGTGATTCCCCAATAACATAACCCAAGGGCCCTTGGCTGGCACCAGTGTCTTGATATGGTACAAACGGATTGCTGATGGCAGCAATGACATCGGGCTTGGCGGGATAGTCGCAGTTTGTGGCACAAGGAAGTGAGGGCATGTGCAAGTCTTCTGAAGATGCATGGTGGAATGCGTGGACATGTGGTGCCACCATCCAGGGCCATGCACTTGATCCCCACGATCCGGAGTCCTTCGGCTTTGCTTTCGTGGGAGAGGTGACGGGGGCACATGGTCTGCATCCCAGGGCTGCTGCTCCTGAGCACGGCTGCATCCGTGCACGCATTGGAGCCTGAGGAGTTCACGGAGACGTCCGCGTACGTGCAGACGACTTCCTGTGCGACCAAGGTGTCCGGTTTTCAGTGGGGGGCCGAAGGAGTGCAGCGCACCCAAAGGTTACGATCCGGCCACACACCTCGCCCGAGCCGGCCTCATGCACTGCCGGACGACGCACTGAGTCGCACTCGGACTAATGGGCCCCGCCTTGAGGCCGAAACTTCTCAAACTTCACGGAAGACTCGAAGCGGGTCGGGCACTTGGAATAAGAAGAGGCTCCGGGCTTCGCCGAAGCTGTCCGAGGTGCACCTGAAAGCACCCCACCGCCGTTTTCCACGACCCTTCAGGCAGGTTTAATGAAGTTTTGCATGCAGTGAAATAAATGCTCGACTGTGTGATGTCACGAGGATCCTGACCGGCAAGCGTGCCGGGAGCCGTTCGCCATTCTCAGAGCCCTGCGATGCCTCTCCGCCTGAGGTTCAACGGCGAGTTTTCGCATTGCGGCTGCACGGTGTAGAGTCGCCCGAGGAGGCCTTCAAAGCTTAAGAAGGGGGTATTGATTAGATAGCATTCGACAAGCACAGGTGTGGATGACGACACTGATGATGACGCCATCAGGACGATGATTACGACAGTGCTGGTGCCCATGATAAGGATGTAAGGAGACCGGAATGCTTCGGTCTGCGACGATGATAAATGGCATTGTCAGTCGTTCATGACGGATATGATTGGCCCATTGCCAGCTACTTGCATCGACATAGCTTGCCTAGACGGCCCAGCCCGACAGCAAGTCGGAGAGCATGTTTACGGTATATGGTTTCAGCATGAAGATGCACGGAGTATCATCGCAGCATTGACGCTTTCATGTGTGCGCTTTTTATGTGCATCTCTCGCCCTTCGCTACGTCTATGTGTACACATATGTGTCATATCTGTAACTAGAAGACAATTGGCCCGAAAGCATCATCAGCGAAGAGTGTTGCGCTACGTCATAGAATCCAGTGTATAGGGTCATAGAGTCACCGAGTCAAAAGCACGGAGTCACAGAGTCGGAGTGTCACATACAGTCAAGAGTCGTACAAGTCATAGTTCATAGAGTCATCGAGAAATAGAGTCGAGTACATGTCAAGCACAAGTCATAGTTCAAAGAGTCATAGAGTCATATAGAGTCATAGAGTCACAGTGAGACAGAATCATAGAGTCATAGTGTTATAGAGTCATAGCGTCAGAGTGAGAAAGAGTCATAGAGTCATGGAGTCATCTATGTACCACGCACTTGACTTGATGTAGTTCACTCTATGAACACTAATGTTCAGGTTTAGCGGGTTTAGGGTATAGTCCAACATGACGCAGAAGTCTTCCTTTCCTAGCTCCGGAACCTCACTGTATAGACATCCCTGATTACTGTGGTTTCAACGTGACTCTATGACTCTATGCATGGTCACTTTATGTCGCAGCAGCAGTAGTAGTAGTAGTAGTAGTAGTAGTAGTACTAGTAGTACTAGCAGTACCAGTACTAGTAGTAGTGATAGTAGTGGTAGTCGTAGTAGTTGTAGTAGTAGTCGTCGTCGCGTAGTCGCAGTCGTAGTCGTAGTCGTAGTCGTAGTAGTAGTAGTAGTAGTTGTTGTTGTTGTAGTTGTTGTTGTGGTACTAGGTAGTAGTAGTAATAGTAGCATTAGTAGCAGTAGCAGTAGTGGTGGTAGTAGTAGTGGTAGCAGCAGTAGTAGTAGTAGTAGTACTAGTAGTAGTAGTAGTAGTAGTAGTAGTAGTAGTATTCTTTGTAGTAGTGGTAGTAGTAGCGGTAGTAGTAGTAATAATAGTTGTAGTAGTGGTAGTGGTAGTAGTAGTACTAGTACTAGTTCGAACACTCGACAACGCCAATCTCTGTGTGAAGGGTTGCAAGTTTCACCTCAATGCACATCAAAAGTAATAACTTTACCTCGCGTTCGAACACTCGACAACGCCAATCTGTGTGAAGGGTTGCAAAATTCATTTCAATGCACATCAAAAATTGCAACTTTACCTCGCGTTCGAACACTCGACCACGCCAATCCCTGTGAAGGGTTGCAAAATTCATTTCAATGCACATAAAAAATTGCAACTTTACCTCGCGTTCGAACACTCGACCACGCCAATCCCTGTGAAGGGTTGCAAAATTCATTTCAATGCACATCAAAAAATGCAACTTTACCTAGCGTTCGTGCATTCGACCATGCCAATCCCTGTGAAGGGTTGCAAAATGCCAATCCCTGTGAAGGGTTGCAAAATGCAGTTGAGCTGCGCCCAAACCCTGTGAAGGGTTGCGCGGCGCGCGAAAAATGTGTAACTTTACCTCGCGTTTGAACGCTCGAGGAGGCGAATCCCTGTGAAGGGTTGCGCGGCGCGCGAAAAATGTGTAACTTTACCTCGCGTTTGAACGCTCGAGGAGGCGAATCCCTGTGAAGGGTTGCGCGGGCACCGCAAAATGTGTAACTTTACCTCGCGTTTGAACGCCCGAGAGTTCCAATCCCTGTGAAGGGTTCACCCGCGCGCCTAAAATGTGTAACTTTACCTCGCGTTTGAACGCCCGAGGAGGCGAATCCCTGTGAAAGGTTGCGCCGGGCGCCTAAAAGGTGTAACTTTACCTCGCGTTTGAACGCCCGAGGAGGCGAATCCCTGTGAAGGGTTGCATTCCCGATGGACGCCGACGGTGCCACCCCCGGCTTTAGAAGAGAGATTTAGATACCGAGATGTAGAGAGTAAGTAAGTAGAGTCAAGTAAGTAAGTCAGTAAGTAGTAAGTAGTAAGTAAGTAAGTAGAAGTAGTAAGTAAGTAAGTAAGTAGTAAGTAGTAAGTAAGTAAGTCAGAGAGTAAGTAAGTCAGAGAGTAAGTCAGAGAGTAAGTCACAGAGTAAGTCACAGAGTAAGTCAAGAGTAAGTCACAGAGTAAGTCAAGAGTAAGTCACAGAGTAAGTCACAGAGTAAGTCACAGAGTAAGTCACAGAGTAAGTCACAGAGTCATAGAGTAGTCAAGTGAGTAAGTCACAGAGTTCTCAAGTTCATAGAGTCATAGAGTCATAGAGTAGTCAAAAGTAGTCAAGTTCGGTCTTAGAGACATAGAGTCATAGAGTCATGACACGAAGGTCATGTGCTCGATTCTATGTTTGTCATCTATGTACTCATCTGCGGGGCTCCGCACGGAAGAACCCTTCGCGACGCTTCGGGAAAACTGGAGAACGAGTGTCCTTAAAGCATCTAGAGCAGCGAGGAAACACTAAACGTTTCTTGTCCATTTATGCATACATACATCCACACATGCATCCATCCATTAATCCATCCAGCTACCCACCTATCAATCTGCATTCATCCATCCGCCCATTCATGCGACCCCTCGTCTGTCAATAAACCCCTCCACAAAATTCTGTAGAAACCTATCTGGAATCTGAAATCCTTCGTGAGGAGGAACTTTCTGTAAGCCCTTTCAGAAACTCTTCTGCAAAGCCTTTAAAAACTGCTCTAGAAACCCCTCTCAAGCTTTCCCCAATGTACTGGCAGGCTTCAGGACCAAAAGGCTTCCCTCAATCTGCTGCGGGATTCAGAGACATGACCAGAATGTTATCCCAGGTACTAGGGTGATTCAGACATACAAACAGCACCACAGGCGAAACGCCCGCCGCGTGTACCCAGAGGGTTGTCATTTCGAGGCCAACATGTCTAAGATTTTGCAATGGATCACTTACCGGAGCACGCGAACACGCCACGAGAGGGTTGCCAATTCCGAATACGATCGTTACGGCTCCCCATATCTCCCCATGCGCCGCGTGCTTTGGTGTGACACGTATTTCGTTCGAGCACTGGCGGGATGCGCAACACCCCGCTAACCCTGTCCCGTGAGCAAAAGGATAAATCTAGAGAAAATTGCAAATAGAGAGACAACCTCACGAAACTTGATAAAGGCCAACCAACTCCACGAAAATCAAAAGCCGAGCAACCTCTCGAAGGCCACATCAGTCGATGCACCCTCACTACAGACTGAAAGAGAGCCTCACATCAACAGCGTCTCATCGAGGCACTTTCGAGAAAAACGCAAAGATCCTCCCACTCGCACAGAGAAAGCCGATCCCGCTCCTTCCCCATGCCATTGCCTTGGATTTTGAGCTGAGAAGACGCGATGGGAAGCATCTCTCCACCGGTTGCGCCTCGTGCCCTGCCCGACCCTGCTGATCTGCATGGTCAGAATGCATTCGCGGGTATTCGACGGTGCTCGAGGTTTTTATTTAGGCGGACCAGTAAGCATGGCTGTCCTCTGCGCAAGTCCAAGACGCTTCGTTCGTTAATGTTTTTCACAAGCATCACATCATATTCTCCGACTCCACTGCGCAACATGTGATTGGATCTTCTGCTACAGGCCGTAGCCTTGCGGGGCTACAAAGTCTACGTGTCAAACCCTCGAGAAGATCTCGTGGACCTGGTTTCTTGTTCCTGTTGATGCGTTGCCATGCGTCGCCCTCGCTTGCTCTGAGGTTGGAGCCACCACCGACGGCACAGGAGAAGGTCAAGGAGACACGCAGCTTTCACAACCTTCAGTCCTACAAGTGTAACTCGGGACTTGTTGAGAGAACTAACGGCTGGCTTCTCTCCATGTCACGACTCTTGTTCCAGCGGCTGCCTGGATTCAGCGCGTGCAGCAGATGAAGTAGAACAGGAATGCTTTAGTCGGAGCTATTTTGGAACCGCAAAGGCCCCAAAGACTTCGTCAGTGTTTGTGTGCTAGACTTGTGCTCTGCTGCACATATTTGCCTCTACCGGCGGTGTTTAGGTGATTCATGCTATTGTGCAGAACTAGATAGAGCTGCTCCGCTCCTGCAGCCAAATCAAAAATTTGCGGACCGATGGCTCCGAAGTGTCTGCAAGGTTGGTGCACCACGCAAGGGTAGAAATGACAAGGTATTGATCTTCAATGCAGTGTTGGTGGAAGTTGGAGAGTCCACGACTCCACGACTCTGCTCTTATCAAAAGGTTCAAAAGCTTAATGTGCAACTTGGCAGGAGCAAGAGGAAAGGGGCCTCGATCTGTACGATGCAGGGACGACCACCTTCCACACCAGTTCGCGGCCTTCTTCGTACAGCTTCCTCGTCGTCGCAGAGAGTGCGATGTCCAAGGCGACGCACTGGGCCTGATCAGCTCCAGGTGTGTCATGGTCACTGGCCAGGCAAGTCGCAAAAGGCTAGTCTTTTCTGAGCCTGGCTCCTTGGTGTAAAGAGGTCACCGATGAGGTCCTGGGCGAGTTTGCGGCAGCTGAGACTGCAGATGAAGCCAAGGAGGCGCCTGGGATGCTCGGTCTGTTACTGGGCGTGGACGCTGACTTTGGAGTCGGCTTTGCTCCGGAAGGTCCTTTCTCAGGCAGGTGCTGGCCTCCAGCACTTCGGCGATGTCTCTGCCGTGGCGCCGCATCGGGAGACATGGGGATCCCCAGGAAGCCAGTATGCCCCTTGATCGCAGCCTTTTCGGAGGTGCCGGACTACAAGATCGCACGACGGCATCGGGGCCGAAAGGCGCGGTTCGCGACAGCAGCTTTCCAAGTTTCGCTCAGCTCAAGAATGAGCGCGGATCTGCCCCGAGGCAGCACACGACCTGCTGGACATCACATTGATAAACGAGGACCCGATAAGACAGACCTGGGAACCAGCATTTCGCCAGTTGCATTGCAGGTGCAGGGAGGCGAGGGCCAGTATTTGTACGAGCCTGATCCGGTCCCTTGCTAAGAGACAAGCGCTGCACTTGCCTGTTACCTGGGATGGTTCAAGGAGTCCCCCACGGGCCAGTGGCGAGCTCAGTCTGCGGTGAACGATCCCTGCGCAGTGCTTTCTTGTGGCACAGTCGATTAAATTCTGCAGTCAGGGCACTCCAGATGGACCGCTGGAGGACCGCAGACCCCAACTTCGAACGGGCCCTCCACTCGAATCCCGCAATGTCGGAACCTTTCAACAGCATCTGAAAAATCTCAGGTCGTCTACGTACCGTTCGTGCCAGACACCATTGCACGCGTGGATGCGGACAGGACAGGGAGCACGGCCTTGGGCCCGAATAGAAGCTCATTTGCTCCCGCAGCTCTGTTGCGATTGAGGTCTACTTTAGATTGCCCGAGGACTTCATTGAGGCATCCAGACATCGGGTGCATGCGTCTATGCGATGCTGTTAGGTAGGCAGCAGTTGGCAGCTGTTTGTCTCGCACCGATCTCAGAAGACGGCCTTCACCTGCCGAAAGCGTATTGTGGACGAGCGTGGACTTCTCGTCATCCCTCGCGGACCTTTCGCTGGGAGCCCAAAAAGTTGAAATTCTCATCGTCCTCCTGAGCTCATTTGTGCTCTTGGCATCAGGTCAAGGCACTTCTGCCTCCGGAAGGCAAGTCCCATGCACTCCGTCGCCGCGATGGAAAGCGCCTGCCACTTCACGGCCGGGAGCCATGCAGGGTTTGTCGAAGAGTTATGAGGGTGAGCGTGTCGCTTGAGGCACCGCCCCGGCCGCAGCGTCCCTAGTGACACTTAGCGACTGTTCAGAGGCTAGAGGCTAGACCGTCTAGACTCTAGCGGAGTGGTTGCTTTCAATGAGGCACCCGCTGATATGCTGCAGCCGGCTGGGCAGGTCGGAGCCCAGTTGAGCAAAGAGGCATCGTTCCATGCGCGGCTCCCTGGCCCTGACAGGTTTACGCAGAGACGAGCCCTGGGGTTCCAAAGCCACCAATCCACAGGCCGTGCCCTTGCCCAGCCCTTGCCCTTCACTGCACTGCCTCACTTCGCTTCACTTCTCTACATTCGGTGGAGGCCTTTTGGCGGTTTGGACCGTCTGGACAGCGCCAAGAACCGATTCAAGCGCTACTTCAAGGAAGAGGGCGTCAGAATGTAAGCGACAATGAATGCCACAATCTCTGGCACTCCAGGAGTCCAGCCGCTTTGTGGTGCCCCTGGACCTCCAAGACCGCGAGTCAGCAGGCGACGAAGCGAGCGACGAGCCAAGTGAAGACGAAGACAACTGAGCCAACTGCGCAGCATTGGGCCTAGCTGGACGTCAGCATGGTGCTTGGCAGACATGTGGATGCCAAAAAGCTTTCCGCTTGCACTTGTGACTGTTGAGCTGTCCCCAGCTCCTTCGCAAGGATTGGCCGCTCCCACCCCAGATATTTGGCTCTTCATCCCGATGAGATAGTAGTGACGTATTTGAGGCCACACAAGTTTTAGGGTTGAGGTGTTTGCGGGTTCAAGGGCTTAAAGGCTTATCTCGCGTTTAAGGGCTTAGGGTTCGGGGCTGGTCCAGGGTTTACTCAAGCTTCGAGAGCAAAGCCGGGGTTCCGTTCAGTGTTAGCCCACCTAGACGTCTTAAGCAAGATTGCGGTTCTTCCAGACAGATCTCGTTCCTTTTAGGAGTTACTTTTCAATGAGCCGCCAGAGCAGAGGTGCAAAGTTTGGCCAAAGCATGGTTGGCCTTTGACACCTGTGCTGTGGACGCCAATAGTCGATGGGGTATGCCAGTAGCCCCACTCGACGAATATTTTCTCTCTTTGCCGGTGGAAGTGAGAGCCACTTGATTAGCCGTTTATCCAGAACAGAAAAGGCGCATCAGCCGAAAGAAGTACGGTCGTACGTGCCATTGTCCGTCGAAGCCAAAGGGACGGAGGACGAGGGATGACGAGGGAAGGGTCCCTTGCAGGAAGGTTCCTGGTAGGATGCAGGCTGCGGAGTGGAATGGAGGAGAGGCCCAAGATTCCGGACCTGCACTGCACTGGCAACCTTGAGTCACCTGTCTGCTGCAATGTGACTGATTGCTATTCTGTCCGAAGGCCTGTAGCAAGCGAGCTGATGATCACAGTCTCCCTTCCATCATCAGGACGTTGATGGTTTTGGAGGGTTGCGTTTACTTACGATTTCAATCCCGTGGAACAAGCACTCCTGCGGCCCCTTAGGCCAATGGAAACACCTGGCACTGGCACTCGCCGGCGAAAGGCCAGAGGAAGCCATGGCGCAGAGGAAGCCATGGCGAGTTTCTTCCGTTGCGCTGGAACCATGCAGCTCTCACAGATGTGGTGGGTTCAAGTCTGGCGTGAAGGGAGCAGAATCAGCACAAGGGAGGGGACGAATGCTGACCCACTTGGCAACTCTGTACAGGGTTCCGCAATTCGCGCACGCGCACACACACACACACACACGCACACGCACATGCACACGCACACGCACACCCACACACACGCACACCCACACCCACACACACACACACACTCTCGTGCAATCCTCCCTCTGGACTGATAGAATTCTCGAGAATTTCAGTCGGAACATTCAGAGATGTAGGACTCTAAGAGGATTTAGGCTTTACCTCTGGCCTCAACAGAAATCACATATGGGGTTTGTGGCTTGGCCCCAATGCCATGCAGTAAACTCACAATAACATGTTGTGGCCACCAGCTGGAGTCGCTATCCCCAGGTGCACCACTGCAGGTACGTTTACACTGCAAGCACAGAAGCGTCTTCGTTGGCTGGAGACTTCTGTGTTGCACTCCAGCCCCCTGCAAAAATAATGCATGTCAGCAAACCTTGGCAAACAGGTGTTCCACACACACACACCCCGCCAAGCGGGGTAGCCTTTGATGGCATCACATTGTTGACAGACAGCAGTGCACATTTTACACTAACGGCCTCTCCATTTTGTATAGCACAGAACAAGGGTGGTTGCGAGTCCCATTAATGGGTACGCACCCTTACATACTGTTAAAGAAGATGGCCAGCATGGATGCTGGCAAGATCGAATTAATTAACCATGCAAAAATGACTTTCACGGAGAAGTGCTCCTCTTTCTTTTCCGAGGAGACTCAGAGCAATCAGTTGGAGGGAGCATTGGTGGTCTCAGGCAGGTGTGAGCTTGAGCTCCACAAACTGTCCGCAGTAAGGCGAGTTTGGATCCACTGCTGTGTGGCGGGGAACCACGTTTTCCACCAACGGTCTTGACCATCAGCTGCCGTGCTTTTAGACCAGTAGAAACGCCACGAAATCTGCGGAGAACGAGATCTGCTCCGTTCCGACATGATGGACTCACTAATCTCCACTGAAAGCCGCAAACTACAGACATACTTCAGCAACATGCAGAGCATCAAAAACAAAGAGCAATTGGAGACTTCGATGCTGTTTTGGCTTAGCCTCGCATCTGCTCAGAACCGGCTTCACTGTTTGGTGGGCCCGAACTCATCCTGGATGAGTTTGACAGGGCAAAGATGCTTTAAAACATAGTGGCAGGAGCACCTGTAGCCACTGCGGGCTTGCATCTTGGCAGCTGCTTTGCCACGAAACTGGTAAGGTTGTGGCACATCGACAGGTGGCTTGATAGACCCCGGCAGGGGGTACATAACTTCCGAAATGGGATCGAAAAAGTTCAGAGCATCTGAAGTCCTTGATGGCTTCGCGGTAGAAGACTTGGAAGTCTTTTTGGACTTCTTCTTCTTTTTCTTTTTCTTTGTCTTCTTTGTACTGTCATCGTCCTTAGGACGATTCTTGCACCTTTTGGAAATCGGTCGAGATGTTGCATCAAAAGCAGAATGCCACGACGATTCCGACGAAACTGGTGACGGCTGCCGATGTTCAGTGGCTTGATCCATGGCTACCAGAAAAGGAGGGCAGCATAAGAGCCAAAAATTCTCACACCAGATGATCTATCCTGACATAGCTTTGCATGTGTAGGGTATTGCAACATTGAGCAAAGCACCCACACACATTGCACAATCTTTTTCTGCTGTACGAATTAAATCGGCTTGCTTAAGCAGCTGAAAAAGCTGCGGCTGCTGCCATGAGGTTCTCTTCCTCAGGATCATCTACATCAGGCAGCTCTATCTTAGGGGTTGCAGGTTTACCCCATGGGCCCCAGCTGTCGTCTGGAAGGCCATCTGCCAGAGCCAAAGTAGGCTCATTATCGACAGCTTTGAGCCTAGTTCTACGGCGTTGTCTGCTCTCTTGCTGAGGGTAGTCAGCTTTGCTTCGTTCTGAAAGAACAAAGATAAAATCGATGCGAGCCGCCGCGAACCGAATTGCCCACCGTCTGTCCGAAGAGCAGCTGTGGACCAAAGCATGAAATCTCGCCAGATTGTTCTCATATCTGGTGCATGCATTCTTGCCCTTAGCATGGCTACTGGGCAATAAGCCTGCAAATACCACTCCAGAACAATTCTTAGTTGAGTGGTAGCACTTGCAGGCAAGCTGTACAACTCCTGCACCCCAATTGGGGTTTGTTGTGCTTCTGCCGTAGAAGGAAAACGTATCTTCTTGAGGTTCGAGGCCGGCTACACTGTGATCCGTAGGGAGGATCTTGCCCGTAGCCAAAATTCCTGTGACCCCTTCTCTGGTAGTGGCATGTGCCCAGAGATGCCAGTTTTGCTGGGCCAGGGGTGGGCCGGGAAAACCTGTACACCTGAAACGGTATCCAACTACATTCTCTTCCACATCATGAAACAGTGAGGCACCTTCTTCGAAGTGTCTCTCATAATGGAGTCTGGACTGCAAAATGCAGTCAACGAAGTCGAAAAATTCTTCCTGGCCTATGGTGTTCGATGGCACCTGCTCTGGAAACAAACTGAGCAAAAACCGAGCACATCTTTGTCTCTCAGGGTCTTTGAGAGACGAGAAAGGGCGCTGGTACTTGCGAACCAGTGCCGCTCTGGCTGCATTGCTTCGCAGTGCTTGCCAGGGTGCCATAACCCACTGTTCCGGAAACGGCGCAGTCAGAATTTGCTGACGATAAAAGAGGTACTGGCTCAGGGTGGTCATACCACCTGGAATATGATCCACTGCTGAAAATCCTGACAGCTGGATTTCCAGCTGATCCTCCACATCATTGATATTGGCAGACATGAGGCCCCGAAAAAATTGATCGTCAATCTGTTGCTGGCTTTCCGTTGGAGCCAGCTGGTTGGAAGTCGATGGCCCTTTCTTTGCGGGCTTGGTCTGCTTACCAGGGTCCGGGAGATCAGCTGCTGGGGCTTTGGCTTGTGGCCCCACCGGTTCCGGTGCTTTATTGGGCCTAGCCAGCCTCGGCGGTGTGTGAGGCACGGCTGGTCGCCGTAAATCCGGAGCCGCAAAAGGTGGAGTAAAAGGAGGCGGCAACGGCGGCGGTGGTGGAAACCAACATGCAGAAACATTTCCCGGGGGAGCATGATGTGGAGGCGGTGGTGCAGTATGTGGCAGCAGAACTGGCCTCGGTGGGGGAACCCAAGGCGCTGGTGCTCGCCAATTGCCCGGTGGATACATTGGCTCTTCTCTCCTCGGCCGGTCCCTAGGAGGTGTTCGGCTTCGCCGATGCCTCTTGGATCTCCCTCGGGACCTTTCTTCACGACGCCGAGAGGGTGATCTGGAAGAGTATCGTCCACGATGCGACTGGGCTGGCCGTGGCCGTGGATGAGGATGTAGCTCTTCCACCGGAGCCGGCAATGATAAAACAGGCGCTGAAGGGCTGGTTCCTTTGGATCCTCCCTTACTCAATGTGTCACCACAGAAGAATTGAAACACAGGAAGCCATGGCAGGGGCACAGAGGATGCCAACTACAAGAGCTTCCACGATCCAAGCTCACCGTAATGGGAATTGATGCCATTGCACACCGATACGAAAACCCCACAGTGAGCATCAAAGTCAGAATTTTGACACTGTCAGGTCAGCAGTTCTGCAAGGAAACCCTTAGATATGTACAATTCGCGGAGTCCCTGCAGTTGATGTTTGCGACTGCTCGGAGGCCATGCATACTGTACGATCAAAGCTTTCCGAGAGAGATATCCTGAAATTCGGGTGGACCAGCTACCTGCGGATCTTGGATTTCTGATAGACCAGGCTTTGTCTGGTTGCAGGTAGGTCACTGTTCTGTTGGCCATGTTGAGCCGGAAGCCCAGAAATTGATGATTTGTAACCTCTTCCAGCTGGATAGTTCCTCCGTAAAAAGAGAGGTGTTGAAAATCCTTCATGCATTGATGCGACAGAAAGGTCTCGTCGCACACAACGAGTCGGTTGTCA